GGCCAGATGCTATGGAAAGGACAGAAACGCCGACGGACCCTAGGAAAGCTGAAGGCATTTATCCTAACCCTTTGTATTTCACTATTTTACAAAATAATGATTTGAACATTTGAGTGAAAAGAGAGTGGATCCTGCCTTCTTCACAGTCACATCGGGTTCCCCTCTGTTCCAGCTGCAGCTTGCTGATGCCCTCCTGCCTTAGTCATACCTTAGCCGATCTTCTTGCTGTTCTCTTTCTGCGTGGGCTAGGCCTGGGAACTTGCAGAAACCTCAGACCTCTAAAAACATGGATGCCTCCAGAAGTGTTCCTAATTAAAAGCTCTTACCTGAGTCAGGTGGACTTTTGGGTCCAGGGTTGACTTCTGTTTTAAGAGCATACGGTGTGTTCAGCCAAGAATTGTTGAATAGAAATGTGAGGCATCAGGGACAGGCACACCTGATTCAAAACCTTGGCATTTCATTTTGATCTGTGAAAGTGTTCCTTTTATGCTTAGATTTTTTTTTCCTCCTTACACATGTGAGCAGCCTTAAATATCTTACATTTTTACAGGACTTTGGAATTCAAAATGATTTTCTATATATTTCTTGTTTAGCACTCTCAGCCCTAATAACCCTGTGAAGTAGGGAACGTTTCTGTGTTTCCTAAAGGGGAGCACAGTTAATATACCTGGCTCAGGTAACAAGACTAGCAGTTGAACAAGCTAGAGCTTCAAGTCCAGTTTCTGACTCTAGCCCACACCTAGGGGCTGTAGAGACACGTGAAGGACGGCCTTCCTCTTCCACCCCGTCTTCCCTTTCCCTCCTCCTTCTCTTCTTCTTAATTATTATCAGACTTTGAGTGCACCCTGTTCAGGGGCCACAAAGGCAATTTGAGGTAAAATACCCACGGAAAACCAAGGTGCAAGTGCAAACAGGTTGGCCATACCGTGGGAATATAGAAAGAAAGTAGTAGTCAGGGCATTTGGAAAGACTTTAATTCCTTTTTCTTTTTTTTTTAACAGTTGGATAAAACCAAGGTGCAAGTGCAAACAGGTTGGCCATACCGTGGGAATATAGAAAGAAAGTAGTAGGCAGGGCATTTGGAAAGACTTTAATTCCTTTTTCTTTTTTTTTTAACAGTTGGATAACTTATTGTTGTTGTTCTTTATTGAATATATGCCCAGTATTACCATGTGTTCAATTACAATTTAATCTTTCCTTGGAACATTGCTCCTTATTGCCATAATTTACGACAACATCTAACCCACACTTCCTGGGGAGTTTTACCTGCAAAAGAAAGGTCTTTTAGCTTGAAGAGTGGGGGAGGAACAATATTTGAAAATGGTAAAAGAGATCAAAGACTTCTCTAAACTATAGGCCGTCTAGTTCACTGTTCTTATAGGAGTGAACTTGTGAATTAATTATAATTAGGATATCAAGAAACTGAGACCTTAATGAGTACAAAAATTGCAACCAACGCACAGGCCTAGAGGAAAATATGTTTTCTTTCCAGCATCAAGGAATATTAAGTCTAAATCACCCCCAGGCATATGGTTTTCAATCCTATGCTTAAATATCTCCTGAGATAGAGATTCCATAAATTCCCTCTATAACTAACCAATCCTCATAATCAGCAAGTTCTGTTCTATCTGACCTAAATCCTTATCCCTGCCAGTTAAACTCATTTCCTCATGTTCTGCCCTCAAGAGAGATAAAGAACAGCTGTCTGCTCATCTTTGTAATAATCCTCATGGGCAGTATTTGCAAATAGTATTTGCAAACAGTCTCCTTTGGGCTAAATAATTCCTCTCACTTTCCTTTTAAACCCTTCTGTTGTTGTTTCCCCATGGAGCCTTTCCATGTTATTCGCATCTTTCTTAGTCCTTCCCCAGGACCTGCCATGGTGAAAGACTTGGAGATAAGAATCCAGTTGTAAAGTAGACTGCAGAAGAGGTGGCAGGAAATCAGATCTGGACAACTCCATGCTAAACCAAAGAAATAAAACATTCTCCCATAAGAAATATGCTTTTCTGTTTCTTAAAGCATCTCTGGCAATTTCTAGGCTCAGCTGCAGCTAATATGTGAGATGGGTGGAATCAGTCCTTCATGTCCTTACCTCAACACAACGTCCTCCAGGGTATTCCAGACACCAGATTCCTCTTCCCCCTCCTCTCTGTCCCCCTCCCCACAAAATCTCTCTTCTTTTAGGGTGGTTTGAGATTTTAGGAGCAAAACATGAAGACAACACATTCCCTCTGATGGCCAAGTTTGCTATTTGTGAACCTTCCTTGAACTCCTTCCTTGAACTGGTCCTAGTCTGCTTAGCCAGGAGGCCCTTCCTGCCCATCTCCTCCAGTCATGGCCTGGTTGTATTTGTCACACAAGGTGTATTTTAGAGAAAGTTGGTCTTCAAGAAGTCAAGAGGTCACTGTAATGGAGACCAAAAAGTCAAACAACCCATCTCAGAAAACCCAGGGAACTATGTTGGCTTTTTAAGCAGAAGCATCTGCACATTAAACTTTCTTCTTCATGGTGAATTTTTCTGTAGTACTGCTGCCATCTGACAATGAAAAACCTTTTCCTTAATTTTATCCAAAAGTAAGTTAAAAAAAAAAAAACTCAGTTATATTGAGAAGTCTTATATCTTACACGTGGAAATAGCCACAGAGGTGGAAGGGATAGTTTAAAAAAGGGATTTTCAACATTTCCAAGCAGATTCTCAGACAAAGATTCTCCCTGGCACATTATTGGATCGAAGTCAATATAGAGTATTAGGTTAACTTAACTCTTACACCTTGTGAAATGCATCCTGCAATCTTGAGTGCAGGGGGCTTCTTTGTTTTCTTTTGTTTGGAATTTTATTTTAAACAGTGTTTTGCATTACCAGGATAAGAGTTTCCAAAACTCTGGAAGTTGAAAGACCTTTTAAATGAGCACTGATTAAAATAAACTGACATGGCAACAAATTATATTTGGCAAATAGACATTGGAAAGCAAATATTCAGACTTCCTGAGCAGGGCAGAGTACTGGCACTTGTCCTGAATGTGAATCGTCAAGCACATGTCAGATTCCGGAGGAGACCAACTTTTTCACTGTTGCCAGATGAGACAAGGCCATCTTGCTTTAGCTGCTGTCAGCTAAGCAGATGAAGCCCAGGTGACCCAAGAAAGGGAGCGGGAGGTTGACTTACCTCCTGCTTTTCTGATATATCTTTTATTTAAATGGGAAAAGACATTTTAAAAATGTGGTTCACGTCTAGCCACATAGTTTTTTCTAATTGATAACATGAGGATCCAGCTGGGTGTGGATCAACATGTGGGTTGTAAGGGGCTGCATTCTTAAAACATATCTACAGTTGTTCAGGCCTCTGGAGTGTTTTGGTTTGGGTTTTGGGGTTTTTTGTTTGTTTTTTGTTTTTGCACATCAGAATAATTAAGAGATTTGATTCTCTTCTAGAAATAAAGCTCCCACTCTGGAGCAAGTGAATTTTTGGCAGAAAGTTACTGCTATTAAAGCAAACTGCCCACCCTTAGTTACATATACACATGAAGGGTAGGGGGCAATGCTGCGGAGGGTCCAAAATATAGATTTCTAGAAAAAAGAGTAAACATACAGTGCTTCTCTCCTTCTGAGGAATATTGACCCCTGCCCCCTCTTCATCCCACCAATCCCAGAGGAAAAGATAATTAGAGGAAACACAAGGGCCATGTATACGATAAGCACATACATGCTCTGAGGGTGATGCAAAAGTGTGTGTAGCTTTGTGGTTTGTAAAATGGGTGACAGCGAAAGCTGTAACCAGCCCCAGGGGCACGAGCCAGTTCTATGTTTTGTAGAACTGATTTTTTGGCAGAAGCTTTTGAGGGGCCCCATAAGGGGAATGGAGGTAACAGGCTCGATTGCTGTGCTTAGAGGGCAGAGCTTTTGCTCGTGTGTTTTGTTCTAATGAAGCGGCAGGGAGAGTTGCTTATCTCTGGCTGATAGATGTGTATTTCTGCATGACAGGAAAGAGAAGGCTCATTCGTAAACAGACCTGGCCCTCTGGGGCTTCCCACATTGGAGGGGGGAGACTGCTTACCAGAAGTTTATGAAATTTATGCTCTGACTTTTCAAAGAAAATGCAGTGTTTTTCATCAGAGAGTCCCGATCACTTTTCCCTTCCTAGAGCCATTTTTTGAGGGTTGCACTGAAGAGAAGACTAAGTCTAGGGCCTTTTGCACTGTTAAATGCAAACCATGTGTGTGACCCAAGGCTTCCTCCCCCTCCAAAGCACTGCACATTTGGCATGGAGAATGGTTTTAGCTAAAATGCAGTGGGATGTGTAATGAAAAGTAGGATGCTCAGTGTTAGGGGACACTCATGCTGCACTCCACGCTGAATCTCAGTGTGGAAGGGGGGTGTTCGTTGGCAACCACAGTCCCCATGTGCAAACAGCTGAACCTCTTTCCTAGAGGGTTTCTCTGATAGTAGCCTTTCTTTTCACCCCCATTTCTCAGGTAGACTGTGTGCTCTACTGTAGCTAGGGCAAAATCTACACTTCACCACCCTAGTTTTCAACAAGTGCATTCAGAAAAAGTCCCCCAAATTGCCATGGTCTTCTTATTACAGTTTAAAGGTCTTAGCCTCCAAACCTTAAAATATCTTTATGAGAGAAAAGGACAGTGTTTCTTGAATACAGGTGCTCACACAGTCCAGATGAGGGTGGTTTCTTCAAAGGTTGCAGGCCCTGAAGTCCAGAGGATCTGTCATCAACTGTTAGAGGTCTTAGCCACTATAACCGCCTGTCAGTTAGCTGGAGAGCTGTCCTCTTTTCCTTGTACATGAGGCTTTAAAAACAATAACAAACAGAATCACTTTTTGGTGGAAGGTCTTGCAGCCATCCAGGACCTGGGTTTGTTGCTTCTGCCCACAGTTGAGAAAAATGGGATAAAATGGGAAAAGCAGGAACGGGGATTTTTTTCTCAGAAATGCACATACATGACATGCATCTGTTTTCTCCCCTTTTCTTTATTCACTACAGGGGAGACAGCAAGAAGGCAGCAAGTACCCACCTCGCCACCGGCCTCAGAAAACAGCAGTGCAGCCCACAGCATCGGCAGCACGCAGAGCACGCCCTGCTCCAGCAGCAGCACAGCCTAGCCCGGCCTGACAGCTGAGCTGCCCCCCAGGGTCCCTTGTAAAGAGAGAGTGAATTTCAGTGTAAAGATCACCTGTCGTATTCACCCCCCCCCCAAGGGCTAGTGTAAATGTGACCCCTGGACTTCGGTAACACACTAGAATTCATGTGAGAAAGCTAAGATGGTGGCCTTCTCCACCAGTCCCTCACAGGCCTGGGGGGTTTTTAATGTGAAACACATGCCAGTTTTTAAAATGCTGCTTTGTCCAGGTGAGAACATCCATAATCTGGGGCCCTGAGTTTTGCCTAGTCTCGAGGAATTGGTAAAAGAATAATAGCCAGATAGTAGAACAGCGAGGCAATGTGGCCAAAGATTCTTTTAAATCCAAACCAAGATGTAAAACTTGCCTCAAGGCTTTCTAAGTGGTTCTCCTTGTCTAATTTGCACCTTTGTCTGGATGCACACTTCTGAGCTTGCGGTCATGCCCTGTGGGTCTGATATGTCTGCTTGATAGGGCAGCACCCTTGGGGACTGCATCCTGATACCTGTCAAGGCAACATTCCTTTCTTGTGCCCTGGGCCAAAACCAATGCTGATTACTGTGTCAGCTTTCTGTTCCTCCCCACACTTGCACATGCTGACTGCAAAATGTCTTAATGCAAATTTTGTATTTCTTACAGGCATATAGAAATTGAAAATGGCCAGAATCTGGAATTGCAGATTTGTGCCCATTTCTGACATTTTGTTCTGATAAATTAATGTGTAAATTGGGGCAAAGTTCAGTTAGTTGTAAAGTTGAGGAGGAATCTGTAGTGATAGGTGTGTGTGTACGCAAACACAAGTATATATAATACGTCATCTGGCACATTCATTTTCTTGGTGGGAAAAGAGAAAATTCATTCCCCTTTTGATAATGTCCTATGCTTTCATAGTTGCAACTTATTATTAAGTATATTTGGTAGGAGGAGTGTTTCCACTCAAACATGTCAGCCTTTTTAGTAGGCCCTTTTGTAAAAACCAAACTTGTGTGAGATGCAAATGTATGGCGGATCCTGTGGATTCCAGTTGGTTATCTGCAGGGTCGCCAGTTCTGCCAAGACAGTGCTGAGATATGGAAAAGGGCACTCATTTTGATCACTTTAATTCTCTTGCCTTAAAAAATCCCAAATTCAAAAAGGATTTGAGGTGAATTTCATTAAACAGAATAATATGATGCCACTTTGCAGCTAAAGTAAGCTCAGTGATGCCTCTATGTTAAGAAAAGAATGCCAGAGGAAAATTTCCATGCCAAATCATTTATTGCTGAAGATAGCTTCATTGCAAATTAAATAGTATTCTTTTTCCAGAATTTTTCCTCTGATGACTTAGAAGTACATAAATAGAAGAAGTTAGATACTACTCCAAAATATTCATAAGCAAATCTCACTGCCCTTAAAATAAGGAAGTTGTGCCTGGTTCTCTGTGAATAGAACCTTAGGTAGGAAATATTGATAAAACTCAAAACCTTAGGGCAGTGTCTGCATGGCAAGCCAGTAGGTGAAGGCGGACAATCATTATCACCCAATTATTGAGTAATAATCTGATTGATTTGATAGATGCAGACACTCAATTGGGATAATTTAAACTAAAACAGATTATGTTAGAGCTCATATTTCCAGGCTATCTATGTTGATGTATTGAAAAGTTTTCAGATTTCCACATATGAATGAAGATGCAAGATTAGAGAATTTTTTTCCTTAATTTTTTTAACATAAGGGTATCAGAGTGGAGGACCTAGATTACGCTACCTGTGTTTGAAAATAATGCGCTTTGCCTAACCTTCAGCAGAATGTATTGTTTTAGCATATTCTATGTATAAAAAGTTTAAAGATGTCTTCAAAGAAGACTAGAGTCTTTAAGTCACTTATAGCTATATTTTACTACAAAAATTTGTGTATAAAGATATATTTAAGTGTTTTAGATAAATTTAAGTTACTCCATATGAAATGTTTAATTTCAGTTACTGTGAATTCTTTTGATCAGTTCTTTGCTTTTTAAAAAATCCTTTCCATCTTGTTAAAAAGAAAATTAGCTATTAGGAGGTATTAAAAGATTCATTTCTTAGATGGACAGGGTTTAAACCTGTAATATATTTAAATGTATATTTTTAAGAGAGATGCTACATTGCCAATGATTTTTATAAATAACTTAAAATTAACTTACAAATTTATAGATACAAACCAAAAGATTTTTAAAAGAGAGAGAGAGAAGAAAAAAATTACCTTTTATTTTCTTTGGGTTTCATTGTCAGAAGTATTATTCAGATCAGGAAATCCATGTTGATGAAACCTGATTGGAGAGTGAATGTCATTCAGTATTTCTGAAATGTTTCTAAAAAATGAACATTAAAAAAATAGGGTGTTTTCTCCCTACCCTCTTGTTACAGCATTTTTGGATTGCTTCCTACTTCACAGTTGTAATACAAAGTATAAGTTCTACTTTTTTTTTTAACATGTTCTCCAAGTTTCTTTAGAATGGTTGTTATATTCCAGTTAAACTCTTCTATCTGCAAAGTCTTCTGTTATTTCTATAGGCTACACCCTTAATTCACAGAGGCTGTTTTGTTTGTTTGATGCTAAAGCTATTGTTGAAATGCTCTAAACTCCAAGGCAGATTGTGTAATATCCTATAGCTTTTCGCCATGTGGTGTTTACCAAGCTGTATTTTAAAAAGTCAGATTTCTTCTGTCTAAGCTGTTTCTATAGCATTTTCTAAACAAAATGTTGTCTCTTCCTTGTCTCATAATGCAGTGTAAATCCATTTCCTGTGTGCGTTCTTAGCAGGCATGAGTGTGAGTGTGTGGGTTGTGCCTGCGCGTGCAGGTCTTTTTGTACTGTAACTACCTCATGGTCTGAATGATGATTGTACTGCTGGTTGTGTTAACAGCACATTTTGTTGGGTAAGTCGTATAAGCGATTTTTTTCCTGTTTGTTTTATCTGGGGGTTGTTCATGAAACTGACAGATGTTTTTCTCTCATGGTCTGAATGATGATTGTACTGCTGGTTGTGTTAACAGCACATTTTGTTGGGTAAGTTGTATAAGCGATTTTTTTCCTGTTTGTTTTATCTGGGGGTTGTTCATGAAACTGACAGATGTTTTTCTAAAAAGGACTATTATCAGTTTCCAAATACAATACTTCTCTCTTCTGGTTTTTCCTGAATGAGCCTGATTTTGTTGCTGTTTTTCATCAGCTATGAGGGTAAAAAGAGTACCCTTGAAATCCCTGTGGCAAGTTTGAGCACCCCCGTTGTATTCTTTTCTGTGTTCAGTGTGTCAGCAATTTTGTGAATATGCTTAGATGTATCGTTTTGATAACCACAGTTTTAAGTCCTTTATCTGTGCATAATAAAAAGATATATATCGATGATTAATACATGTCTTGTTTGGTTATCACTAAATTCTGCCCTCAGGCTGATATAACTTTTCTCACTGTGACTTTCTTAAGTGTATTGTCTGCTCCAACTGTGTGTGAGGGTGAGGGAGGGGAAAGGCGAAGAGACTCACTAGAGCAGAGGGAAGGGTGGATAGACCAGGGGGATGGTGCAGCAGGAGCTGTCACTCTCCTTGAAAAACATGGCAGGAGACACGGAATGCCCTGGAATCCACTCCTGGGCCTTCTGTCAATCTCTTAGAGTCAAGGAAAGAAAAATAACATGTATTTAGGATCTACTGTTTTCATCCCCTTCAAATACCCCAGTGCTGCTTCCATCATTCCGTGTCTCAACACAGTACTATCCTCTTCCTGTTGCCTAAGCCAGAAACCTGGGAATGTAACTGGAGCCTCTTTGGCTCCCCCACCCCCAAATTATTAAGTCCAAGTGTTATTCTACCTTAAGTATCTCTTTCTCCAAACCACTGACTCCTGCTACATTATCCACTGCCCAAGAGCCATTATCTCGAGCCGAGTTCCTGCAACAGCTGCCTAACTAGTATGCCGACTTCCCATCTTGCTCCCTCCAATCCTTTCTCCACCATGCAGCCAAAGTAATCCTGAAAAGACTCAAGTCACGTTACTTCCCAACTTGAAGCCTTTAAGTAATTCCTCCATTTGCCTTTAGGGTAAAGCTCAAAGACCCAAATTATAATGTTGAATATGCTTGTACAAAGCACATTCCCAGATCCCTCTCTCTTCTCCTCTTGAGAATTAGTGACTTAGATGGTGTGGTATCAAGGCCAGCAGCCCACCTCTCACACCATACACAGGTAAGGTGCCCACAATGCAGGAGCAGTGTAACAACGGGCGTAAGCTGCATGTCGCTCAAGCAAGGTTGGAGACCTCGTTACAGATAAGGGTTCAGCCATTTTCAAGTACCAACATTGCCCCTTGGAGCCAGCTCTTCTCAGAGGACACCAGGGAGAAATTGGCAGGTTAACTAATTTTTCTGCCACTAAACTCCTTGTATCTACTGGAGCAGAAACCTGGGTGGTCCATAAATGGGCTTCAGAAAATCTACCAACTGCTTAAAATTGTATGTAAGATTTTGTGTGGATGTGTCTGGGCTGGTGTTGAGAGAGTCCATCACTTTTTTGTAGTGACATCCTCTAATTAAAAAAATTTTTTTTTCTTTTGAGGCTGGCTTGTATGTGGATCCGAACCCTTGACCTTGGTGTTATCAACACCGCACTCTACCGAGTAAGCTAACTGGCCAGCCAAAAAGTTTTTTTCTTGCTCACACAATCTGTATGTATAAAATGAATGTAAACAATACAGACATACTTAGCAGGGAAAAAGGCTCCATAAACCTCCCACTTAGATATAAGAATGCTGATTTAGTGTATATGTTTCCAGACATTTCCTTATGTTCAAAGCAACATGTACATGTCCTATAATAAAGATCAGATTTCAATACTTGTGACTTGCTTTTTTTCACATGGCATATCTATCAGGCCTCCAAAGATCATCACATTCTTACTATGCTTAACTTGCCAAAGTTATTGTAGAAGGTGAAATAAAACAAAGGTATTTGTTAATCCTATCCTTCCCCTCCAATTACTTGCCAGAAGAACTGGTCTTAGCCTTTTTTCAAACATATTCATAAATAAAGGGGCTTTTGTTTTGTTTACTAAAAATGGGATCACAATATACATACTCTAAAACTTGCCTTTTTCACATAATGTGAGCCTCCCTCTAGGTTAGTAGATACAGAACAAATTCATGCTTTCAGATGGCTATGTAATAATACTTCATAGAGTAAATTCAGTCAATTTACCAGTAATGGACATTTAGAAGTGTTATTTTCAGGTTTTTCCCAAGATACTCTGCTGCATTTAATAACCTTATATGTCCTTCCATTCTAGTGCTTTAAAGCAAAAAAAAAAGTGAATCACAAGGAGAAACTGACAATTTCATCATTACAGCAGGAGACTTTAACATCGCTCAAATTGATAAATCAAAAAGATGTTGATATGGAAGATTTATTTCAACAATGCAATTAAACTTGATCTAATGGGCATACATAGAATTCTGTGCCCCAAATTTGAGAATTTTGTACATATAAAATATTTATAAAAATTGATCACTACTAAAATTATAATGGAATTCTCAGCAAATATCACAGAAATTAATCATACTGATTTAACTGTGCAAGCAGATTAGAAATGAACACAAAAAGGGTAATTCTTTTTTTTTTTTTTTTCCTTTTTGTCTTTTTTCGTGACCAGCAACGGATCGCAACCCTCAGTGTTGTGCCCGTACCGGACCGGGACCGGCAACGGGATCGCAACCCTCGGTGTTGCTCCCACCCCTCGCTCAGCCAGTGAGCGGGAACCGGTCTGTATGTGGGATCCGAACCCTCGGCGGGAGCGCCACTGCGCTCCCCAGCGGCGCACTGTAGCAGTGCGCCACCGGGCCAGCCCAAAAAGGGTAATTCTTTTTTTTTTTTTTCCTTTTTGTCTTTTTTCGTGACCAGCAACGGATCGCAACCCTCAGTGTTGTGCCCGTACCGGACCGGGACCGGCAACGGGATCGCAACCCTCGGTGTTGCTCCCACCCCTCGCTCAGCCAGTGAGCGGGAACCGGTCTGTATGTGGGATCCGAACCCTCGGCGGGAGCGCCACTGCGCTCCCAAGCGGCGCACTGTAGCAGTGCGCCACCGGGCCAGCCCAAAAAGGGTAATTCTTAAATACTCTATACATTTAGAAATTTTGAAACACTTCTAAATAATTCATGGCTCAGAGAAGAACTCATGAAGGAAATTAGAAGATATATATAGATGTGAAGAATAATGAAAATACTTCATTCAAACATGTAGCTAGAGCAGGGAAAAGATAGCCTCTTCAATAAGTGGTGCTGGGAAACTGGACATCCATGTGTAGAAGAATGAAACTAGACCAATACCTCTCACCATCTATCAAAATCAACTCAAAATGGATTAAAGACTATAAGACCCGAAACTGTAAAACTCCTAAAAGAAAACAGGGGGAACACTTCAGGAAGTAGGATTGGGCAAAGAGTTTATGAATAAGACCCCAAAAGCACAGGCAACAACAGAAAAAAATAAACAAATGAGATTATATCAAACTAAAAAGCTTCTGCACAGCAAAGGAAATAATCAACAGAGTGAAAAGACAACCTACAGAGTGGGAGAAAATATTTACAAACTATACGTCCAATAAGGGATTAATATCAAGAATATACGAAGGACTCAACAGTGAAAAAATAACTGACCTAATTAAAAAATGGGCAAAAGAGCTGAATAGACATTTCTCCAAAGAAGATATGCAAATGGGCAGCAGGCATATGGGAAAATGCTCAACATCACTAAGCACCAGGGAAATGCAAATCAAAGCCACATTGAGATATCATCTGATCCCAGTTGGACTGGCCATTATCAAAAAGACAGAGAATAACAACTGCTGGTGAGGATGTGGAGAAAGGGGAGCCCTCTTACGCTGTTGGTGGGACTGTAAATTAGTGCAGCCATTATGGAAAACACCATGGAGTTTTCTCAAACAACTACAGATAGAACTGCCATACAATCGAGCAATCCCATTGCTGGCTATATACCCAAAGGAATGGAAATCATCATGTCGAAGGGATTCCTGCACTCCCACAGTTATCACAGCTGTATTCACAATAGCTCAGATATGGAACCAACCTAAATATCCACAAGTGGATGACTGGATGAGGAAAATGTGGTATATAGTCACAATGGAATACTACTCAGCCATAAAAAAAGAATGAAATTCTGCCATTCAAAGCAACATGGATGAGCTTGGAGAAAATTATGTTATGTGAAATAATCCAGGCACTGAAAGAGAAATACTGCATGTTCTCACTCATAAGTGAGAGTTAAAAAACAAACAAATAAAAAGAAAGGAAGATACAACAATCACAATAATATGTTGAGCTTTCAAAAGGAGAGAACAGAGGGCCGGCCCGGTGGCACACTGGAGAGTGCGCTGCTTGGGAGCACGGCGGCGCTCCCACCGAGGGTTCGGATCTCATGTGGAGACTGGTTCCCGCTCACTGGCTG